ATTGCTACGATAAATGTCTGTATTTTGCTGCCTATAGAAGTCTTGTAGGACTTTTATGGTTTCCTGTCTTACATTTAAGTCCTTTATCCATTTGGAGTTTGTTTTTGTGTATGTAAGTTGGTGATCTAGTTTCATTTTTTTTTTTTTTTGCATGTATCTGACCAAATTTCCCAGCACCATTTATTAAAGAGACTGTCTTGACTCCATTGTATGCTTTTGCCTCCTTTGTAAAATATTAATTGAGCTTAATGGCTTGGGTCAATTTCTGGGTTCTCTGTCCTGTTCCATTGATCTATATGTCTGTTCTTGTGCCAGTACCAGGCAGTTTTGAGAACAGTGGCTTGATATCTAGTATTGTGATCCCTCCAACTTTGTTCTTCTTTATCAGGATTGCTATGGCTATTTAGGATCTTTTTTTTTTTTATTTCATATGAATTTTTGGAGAGTTAGTTCTAGATCTGTAAAATATGTCATTGTCATTTTAATGGGGATTGCATTGAATCTGTAAATTGCTTTGGGTGGTATGGACATTTTAATGATGTTGATTCTACCAATCCATGTACATGGCATGTTCTTCCATTTGATTGTCTTCCTCTATCTCTTTTTTCAATGTCCTGTAGTTTTCTGAGGACAGATTCTTTACCTCCTTAGTTAAGTTTATTCCTAAGTATCTGTGATGGCAGTGTTTCATATACATGCTGCCTTGGATGGTCGTCAGTAGCCAAATGTGGCTACCAACTCTTGAAATGTGGCTAGTGTTACCAAGGAGTTATATTAATTAATTTTATTTAATTTCAACTAATCTAGATTTAAATTTATTAAAAATTTCTATTTCTTTTTAAATACCTTTGTCCAGTTCCTTCATCCCCCCCCCAAGCTCTGCTTCTCATAACTACAAATCTGCTTTCTTTTTCTATGAATTGTTTTTGTTGTTTTAAATTCCACATATAAGTGATATTATACAGTATTTGTCTTTCTCTGTCTGACTTATTTTTCTTAGCATAATGCCTTCAAGGTTCATCTATGTCACAAATGGCAGGATTTTTTTTTTCCTTTTTGTTTTGACTAAACAGTATATATATACATTCATCTGTTGATGGACATATAGGTTGTTTGGCTAAATACCTAGGAGTAAATTTTGCTGGATCATATGGTAGCTCTATTTTTAACTTTTTGAGGATCCTCCATCTGTTTTTATAGTGACTAGACCAATTTGCATTCCCAATCCAGATTTAAATTCAACTAGTGGTTGCATATTGGACAACCCACCCCAGAGCATACCTTGCTATTTATTATTGTGTGGATAAACTCCTAAAGTGTTTTACAAATAAGTTATTGGTTGTGGAATTATTACATTTATATTTCAGAATTAAATGCTCCTAGAGTGATCTGCAGTTGTTATTAAGAATAGTTTATTAGATTCTTCTGTTGGAGGAGGTGCTTCGCTGTTGCAGGCTGCAGGGGGAGTGTGTTCTAGCATGTAACACTGACTCAGGCCTGTTCTTCAGCTGCACAGGGCCTGGGAGCAGTGCCTGCTGTAAATGTAGGACAGATCTCTAGGCTTCTAGAAGTCATGCTCTTCCTCAGGAATAGAGCTGGGTCAGAGGTTTCTTTCAGGTGGAGCTCAGGTCTATCCTCTGTGTCCAGCGAGTGTTTTCTGCCTGGGGGAGCTTTTTAAAAAGACTTTAATGTAGGAGATTAGGTGAGTCCCCTTTGTGGCCCCCACTTCTGAGTTCTGGTAGGCACTTTGGGCTTCTTGCGGAACCATTCAAAAACTGTTGGAGGGCTGACTGCTGAGTCTGGGCCTGCAGGAGACGGGACTCTATCTTGAGTAGCCTTCAGATTCTTAGATTGCCCGAAGATACTTTGAGACCCGTCTTTGGGCATAGTTTTGGGGGTGACATCATCACATCTTTGTCACCTTTTTAAAACATAGTGGAGTGCTTCTGTGACCAGAAAAGGAGGCATTTACAAGCTAGAGGACACCTGCAAGTAGTCAGGGATTTTTCTCCCAAATCTAGCAACCGAAATCAAAGCAGACATCATTGTTAGGCAGAATTCTTTGTCATAGCAAAGTTCTACAATACATGACTGAGCTTCTTGATTGAGGGCCCTGTTTGTTGCATTATATAAATCTATATCCTTGATTTTCATAGTCTAGCTCTTCTTAGAATCATAGAATGTCTAAGCCAGGAGGTAGAGAATTTAGAAATGGTCACAATCCGGCCTCCTCACTTCAGCCTGATGGAAGCAGAAGCCCAGAGAGGTTGAGTTGACTGAGGACACAGGAGATTTTAGGGCTGATCAGGTTATGCCAAAGCCAGCCTCAGTGCAGGAGGGCCTCCTGTGTTCCTACGCTGTGCTGCCTCTCATTGATGTGCTAAGCTCCATGTTGTCTACAGGCTGTGTGTGTACTGCTGGGGTCACCGTCAGAATCTGGACAGATTGATAAGAAAGGAACATTACAAACCCATAATTAGAAATAAATGGGTACTCGTTGTTTAGTTAATAGTTTAAAATACTACTCTTGCTAATGTGTCACATAGGTATCTTGAAAAATTTCACCAGAATATTCTGACCAGTGACATATTGCTGCCATCTTTTCATGAACAATTTCATAAATTATTCCTGCCGTGTATGTGCATGGTTCAGTTATTGCACCAAGTTTTTATGTTAGTTGGTTATTTTTTAATAGGCAATTTTGCTGTAGTTTGTTCTTGAAGCACTAGGCCTATTTCCATTTATTGACTCTGTTACTCCTTTTGTAGGTTACTTTCTTTATATAGTATGCCCCTCTTACTTTATTCTCAAAGTATTGAAATGCTAGGTGCTACAGGTATGGTGCTGTGCACATAATAAGCATTTGCTAAATATTGGTTGAAAGAGCGAATGTTATCCTATCTACACAGGTTTGAATGTTAATTTTTTTGCTTTTTACTTTGGTCATGGGAAAAACTCTATGGTTTAGGGAGAATATTAGGTGTGTAATTTTTTCCCCCTGTCTAGCTTGAATGGGGTCTTAAACACACAATTCACATGCACACCAAAATTCTGGGAGAGGTTTAGTAAATTGAATGTGGGGTTATTGTTTATGTCCACAAAACAGAGCCCTGAATCACATTTCACATAATTTGTGGCTTTAAATTGGACTGATTTAGCAAGGAGAGTGAAATAATCTCTCATCCTGTCAAAAAGGCGATACCTTCAGACCAACATTTAATTGCATTGGCAAAGTAACTTTGGAAAGGCAGCAGTAATTCTGGCAGCATTATTCTTGGTTTGTGGCTAAATTGGGATCATCATTTTCTCCTGATTGCGCTAAGTTTCTTTATTGCTCTTCAAACTAATCAGATGAAGGCAGGAGAGAAACTTTGTGGTAGCTGGAGGGGGAACAGGAGAACGGGTGGATCTCTGAGCAGTGTTGTCATCTGTGGAGCTCACACACTTCATGATCCAGGTTTAGAAAAGGTAAGCTGACACCTGGCGACTCAGCAGGCACAGCCTGATTTTGTTCATGATCATTTACATAAAGTGAATGCCATTCATTTGCATAAAATTGAGTTTTTGACTACACATCTAAAAATGTGCTTTTGTAGTAAAATTGTATAGGCAGGGCTCACATGCATTCATATTGGTGTCCAAGTGTGGTTTTCCAGCTGCCTCGATTATCCCCTTAAAATCTGTCCTCTTGTCCCATCCCTACCACCAGCCACTTCAGAAACAAATCCACATGCCTTGCTCATTTTCCATCTGGATCACTGCTTCCTAATCCCTTAGTCTGGAATGATTTGTATTTACAGTCCCTTCCTCCAAGGAAAGCATTCCCCTTGTCTCTTACCAAGCCTCCTCCCTCTAAAAGAAATCATGGCATCGATACCTTAGACATATAAAGTTGAAATGATGACCTCAAACTAGATTGAACATATTCACAGAGTTACACACAGGAGTTCTTGGAATGGCGCTCTCTGTAAGTATTTTAGATGTCTGTTTGGGATTTCCCACACACCTCTGTAGTGCTTCTCAGCAGTTTGGAGCATTCCCTGGAGGGAACTGGTGGGATGCAAGGTACATGTACTGACATGAGACAGAATTCTTGTGTAGTGCCCAAGGCCCATGTTAATGGCTTCAGTTTCCTGCATAGAATTGGGATTGGTGCTTGCATGAACCATGGACAATAAGTTCATGGCCAATAAAATATTTATAGGAAACTTGAATCAGCAAATGGATACATGCAATACAATCTATGGGAAGTATTTCTACTATCAATTGAGAGTTAGTACTTTTGAGAGAAAGAAGCCTTTGCTTTTAAATTTGTATTTGCAGGTATATTGTAAGGAAAGAAGAACCTGTCAGGCCCTGAATGTTATATGTTAACCTTTGACCTGCCTATTACTATTCATATCATGCTACTGAGCTGGTTTTTCCTATTTCTGTATAATAACAGTGCATTGATCTGTTGCTAAGCTCATGTAGTGTGTGTGTGTGTGTGTGTGTGTGTGTGTGTGTGTGTGTTGATCAAGGTGCAAAGGTCTGGGACAAAATAAGAGACTGGGTAAGTTGAATATTTTATCATTTAAGGTCGGTCTTAAATTGTGGCGGTTTAGTGCAATGTGAAGAGAACAGCTTCAGATACCATATTATTGAAACAACTTGATGAAGGTATCATTAAGAATGGGACTTGGAGCTAGCTTGCTGCAAGGAAACCAAAAGGAAGGAAAAGTGCACGTATCAGACATTGTATGACGATTAAAAGTTTATATGCTTTATATAGGATGTTTGTGGCACAGACATTCTCTTTGCCTTTTGAAGAAACATTTCCCTTTCTACTCAGTGGTGAGTTACAATCTAAGAGTTACAAATATACAAAATGTAAGTATATGTGAATTAGATGATCATACTGGATAATTCTCCTTTCACATGAAGAAAAATGCAGTTTGTTGCTGGCATTCCTGTGAGGGGTGAAGGTTCTGAGTTAACAATCAGCATTTTTGTCTCCATAGCTGTGCCTGCAAACATAGCAGAGCTGAAGAATTTGGAAGTGCTTAACTTTTTTAATAACCAGATTGAGGAGCTGCCCACACAGATCAGCAGCCTTCAGAAACTGAAGCACCTGAACCTTGGGTGAGTATCTTTCGGGAGAAGGAAGTGAGGAGGAGGTGGAGGGACTGTGGCGTGGGCAGGGGTGGGGGCATCTATATTCCCGCATGGGAGGAGCTGATTCCTCATTTCCTTTTATGTTTTAGGTTTTTTCTAAGTTTTATTGTTTTAATACACCCCTGCAATGGCCTACATTAGTGCAGATCTCTTTGAGAACTAATTGAGAAGCTAATTGTTGGTGCAATAAGGATTGTGTTTTTATTTTTTTATTTTACTGTACTTTGTTTCCAATAAAATTTTATTTCAGTGATATTGATCCTGAAGGGACTTATTTGCTTAGCTTTAACTGTCCAGGCCAGTTGTAATGTGGTTGACTCTGCTCTCTGTGTCAAGTAGAGGTAGTTCACAAAGCACCTTCCTTTTCTGAGGAGAGGGTACATTTCTTAACATGGCTTTCTTGATTCTTGCAATTCTATTATTTAGTCAAGAGGTTCTAATCTTATGTCTCTCTTAATACAAAGATGAAGGGAGGAAGTTTGGTTCAGTTGAGGTTGCAAAGGCAGGTATCAATGAAGAATAATCCCTTGCTCCATATATTACTTTATAGTTTTCAAAGTCCTCATGCCAGCATTTGGCCCTCTCAGCCATGACAAGGAAGGGCAGGCAGGTACTCCTGCTTTCATGTCCAGGAGAGGAAGCCAAGCCCTTTCCGAGAGGTGAAGAGACTTACTCCCGATGGCCCCCACGCTTAGGGGCCTTGCCGGGCAGAGGACCCCGTCCATCAGACATCATAGATACCACCCAGAGTATGGGCTTCTTAATGCCAGCTTCATTGTTACCGCTCTCAGATAAAACTGCCCACTCATACTTTATTCACAGGGCCAAATAATATATTCATGAAATCATAGCCATTAAATGCTCTAGTAAGGTAGTGATTTACATGGACTGGTAATAGAAGCTGGGCAGGTATTTATCAATTTAATAAGAAGCAATCATGGGGGAAAATCTCATTCATAGAATGAGTTTTAGTTTAGTTCATTCTTTCCACGGGGAGTTTTTGGTTAGATACTATTTTGATATTCATTCTGGTTGTGAGATTATCTTTTTAAGATCCATGATCATTTTTTCCCTAATGTCAGAGGGGAAGTAGTGTTTAAAGAAGGGGAAAGAACACTTTCGATCAGATGGGATTTCCCCCATCGATGAGACTATATACCCAAAGAAAGGATCTTCCCTTTAGGTCTTTGTTTTGAAAATTAATGTCATACTATTTAATTTGCACCTGTAAAGAGTCTAAAACTCGATACATATACTAGATATAAATATACAATATAAAACTATATGTATTCTTATTAATTTTTTCATATATTAAGTTGTTATTTACATATCAGTGCTAGGAACAGTACATGACACATAGTAAGCAGTACATAAGTGATAACTATTATCATCACCATTTTTTTTATTCATTTATTTTGTGACTATGTAAGTGCCTTTTCTGCATCAAGAACTTTGCTAGTGTTGGGAGCCAGTGGTGAAAATCACAGTCCCTGGCAGTAAAAATAGAGGCAGAGCTGGCTGTTAGCAAACAGTGACAGGGTGCAGCTGGGTCACCGGTGTGTGGCAGGTTCTAGAAGTGCAGTGGGAGTGGGAGCAGGGGGCACAGTAATCTACAGGGAAGGTTCTCAGGGGAAGAGATTCTGTAGGGATAGTATTTGAGCCCAGACTTGATGCATCAGAAGGAATTTCTCAGAGTCCCAGCAGTGGGAAGACATCTCCGATTGTGAGAATGACATGTTTGAAAGCTCAGAGCCCTGCATGTTCTGGGCATTGCAGGTGGTTTGGTGTTGCGGAGTAAGAAATGTGAGGGAAGTTGTGGTATGGGAAGAGGGGAGAAGAGAAGCATGAATCTCTGCTCTTCACTTAATGGGTATTTCTTGAGCTTCCATACCAGGCTGTGTTGTAGGTAGTGGCCATCCAGCCCATGTAGGGCATCCATCACAGTTGGGAAAGTAGGCTGTAAACAAATAAATCATCAGCAAGGAGTCAATGTGCTAATGAAGGTAAACAGATAAGTCATCAGCAAGCAGTCAATGTGCTAATGAAGGGCCTGTGTGTCAAATAAAGGTGCTCCAATTTTATCATGCTGACCATTGAGGACTTTGCACAGCAGAGTGGCAGGAAAGATATGGGTTCAGATTTTTGTATGAAGGATGTGTGAAGAGAGGCTGCAGGGAGGAATTGCTGGAGGTCAGGAGACTCGTGAGAATGCTAGATTAACATTCCTGGAGAACTTGGACAGTGTGAATGGAGGCTGGAGAGGGATGATGGTATGTGAAAAATACAGAGGAGCTAAAAGTGGCAAGACCGTTATGAATGAGATGGGATAATACTTAGATATCTGCTGTGGGCAGCTGAAATAGAAACACAGGTGAAGCCAGGCTCTGGAAGATCCTGAGCTCAGAATTTGTTTGGCTGGGTTCCAGGTGCCTTAGAATGAAGTTGTAAAGGTTCTTTTTTATTGAATGTATCTTAGTCACCTCTTTATTGTCCTAGGATTTGTTTGCATATTTCCAGCTCTCAGTGCTTTATTGATTGTGTAAAGTTTTCTGTATTTAATTACCTAGCTATCAATATATACAATAGGGTTGTCAAAGTTTGAACTAAATTCTTAGTTCTCTGGGAAAGGAATTAAGATGAGTTTCAAGAAAGGATACTCCTGTCTTCAATGGCATACTGTATTACACTTGCACAGGTCTGTTTATGGCAAGCTATATAGAGCACACTCCTTAGGCTAAGCAGCCTGAATGAAATGTACACACTGAGATGCTACAGTTAAGCCACAAGCGTGCCTAATCTGAATGGCACTCTCAACCAGACTCTGCTTTTTAAGTGTATATAGTATTTGCTGTTTTTTCCAGTGAAAGGATATTTAGGCCATCTGAATAAATAAAGGAAAGTTGAGTTATGCTTTTAATTCTTTAAATGTATCTCATTTTATGAGTTATTTCCAAAAAATTGTAAAGGCACCAGAGGGTACATGTTAGTAATTATTTCAAGGATAATCTCATTTCGAGAGGACCGTGGCCAGCTGTTCTGGTATAACTTTCCACTATGAGAGGCTGGAGCTCATCTCATGAACAGTTAGGCATTCTCACCAAGCACAGTGCTGAGTGTTCATGGATTTGGGTTTTTGATGTTTATATTTCCTGCTAAGCGTATGACCAGGTCACTGTGGAGGTGAGAGTCTTGCCTTTAGCTAGGAAGGTTTTATTGAATTAAGAGGAGCTCAGGAGAACCTCCAGAGAGCCAAGTGTTCCAAAAGGGAAGCGTTAGTATGGGCTTTCCTGTGGCTTTTGAGGAAGAGAAAAAAAATCTGATTTTTAAGTTTCTCCTTCACATGCAGGCATTTTCCCCTTTTCAGTACATCCCATGTTTGCATTTGGAAAATGTTCACATGCAAACATAGAATCGATGCCATTTGGCATGGTTGAGCCACAACCTTGAAGTGACTTGGGTAAGCTGGTTTGGTGCAAATAGAAAAACCACCCTTGATAGTTGAGGTTTCTACCGTGATCTCCTACGGTGAGCTTACCTTTTGGGGCTGAGTCATAATGCCTCTCAAACCTCCTGAAGTACAGTTGTAGATATAGCTGTCATTTCTCAAGAATGCACTTAGGAGCCAAGGATTGTATTAAGTGCTTCATGTGTTTTCTCTCATCCTCCTGGCGATCCTGCCAGGAAGGTTTTACTAGCCTTATTTTACAGATGAAGAGGAATTGGGTCTCAGAGAAGCTGAATAACTTTTCCAAGTTATTGAAGCAGGTGCTAGATCTGGATTTCAAATCTAGATCTGTTCTTCCGCTGCCCCTACTGTAACCTCTCCTGGACATCTTGAGTGGCAGTGCTCGGAGGGGACCCTGAGGACACAAATCCCACCCATGTAGATGGAGGTAGATATTAGCGCCCAGTGTGGGGGAAGCCTCCTGCACACACTGTCATTCTGCAGAGAGAGAGAGACTTTCTCTGGTTCTTATGGATGTGCTTGTGTCCAGGGAAGCAGCCAGTATCCTTACGGCTTCTTGCATTGTTTGTAGCTGGGGCTGTTGGCAGCACCACTTCTGGACCTTCAGAGTCATTTCAGTCAGGGCTCGCTTTCCACCTACGAGGTCAGTGGGCCTGCTCCTGCCATGTACTGCTGTCAGTTGTACAGGGCTATGCTGTGTTCCTCACCTTTTGGGGGGGATTGGTTTACTGCTCGAAGAGAAAGAAAACCTGCAGTTTAGTAGGTTCAGGTTCACTATATGAGGAGATGGGATGGGGACTCTCTTCAGTGAGATGCCCCTGGCTTCCAAGGCAGCAATTTTTGCCTGGTGTGCCACAGGAATTTTTAAAACATGCAATGCCTGCTAGTCAGGGCACTGAGCTCTTTCCCCTAGATCATTGGTCAGCAAACTCATTAGACAACAGAGCCAAATATCAACAGTACAATGATTGACATTTCTTTTGAGAACCCAATTTTTTAAACTTAAACTTCTTCGAATGCCACTTCTTCAAAATACCAGGCCGTGGTATTTTGTGGAAGAGCCACACTCAAGGGGCCAAAAAGCCTCATGTGGCTCATGAGCTACAGTTTGCCGACCACGGCCCTAGATTGTCAAATAAAAAAATAACAACAACCAACAATAACACAACAATAGCCAGCAGGTGTGAATGAATAAAATTTATGACTATTCTGTTTTTGTTGGATTGACAAAAAATATTTCTTCTGGTGGGCTGCATAATTTTGGTAATTAGTTTGTGTGCCGTAAGAGGAAGAAGTTTGAAAATCTCTGACTTTAGGTATACTTCTGTGCACTTCCCATTATTTTGGTCCTTTTCTTCAGTTGCATTGATGTCTAATGATTAGGAGTGCCTTGCCTTCCAGGAGGTGCTGGGTGCTCTCAGACACCTGTCACCTCATCAGCTGAGTCAAAAGTCCTTGGTCCTTAACCTCTCTCAGCCTATTTCCCCATCTCAACATTTCAGAGATGATTATAAGAGCTGTCCTGCCTATATTACACGATAGTTTTGGTGATTCAAGTGAAATACATGGTATAAATGTGCTTCGCAAATTGTGAATTCATGGAGGATATTTTGCTAAATGTAAAGTTAACCTTCTCTACGCATTCAGAGGTAGTCACTCTTTCTTTCTAGGCCTGGTTGGTGGGTGTGGTCAGGATTGTAGCTCATATGAGAAGGATGGATGTCTAAGATTATTTGTAGTGTCACAGTTCTTCCCACTTTTCCACATCTGCCAGTCTGTATTAGATTAAAAAAAAAGATTTAAAAATCATTTATAACTATGCACAAAGTTCAGAACTGTGTTAAGAAAAATAGGTTCTTAAAAAAATGAAAAAACAGAGTAATAGATAAAAATTTCCTTACATTTTATTGGAGACTATATATATATATATATATATATATCTAGGGCCATGGTCGGCAATTATATTAAAATACACAATTATATATTTAATATAATTATATATTTAATAAAATACACAATTATATATTTAATATAATATATCAATTATATTAAAATACACATACCATAAATTTAGCCATTTTAAGTGTATGATTCAGTTGTGTTAAGTCTATTCACACTGTTGGGTAGTCAATCTCCAGAAATTTCTCATCATCCAAAGCTGAAACTCTACACCCATGAAACAACTCCCCATTTCCACTCCCTCAGTCCCTTGTAACCACCATTCTAATTGGACATCCCTTTGAATGTTAGAAGCTGCAGAACAAAAAAGAGATTCCTCCTCTTTCCCACCCCCCTCCGCTTGGGAGGAATAAGTGAAATAAAGTCAAGTCTGAAAACTACTAAGTTTACTGTGTCTCTTTTGGGGTGTTATTGCTACATCCATAAGGAAGTTTTCTCTAGAAGACAGATATTTTTGTGAAGATTTAATTTTCTGTGTAAAACTGATTAAGCATCACCATTGGAGAAAATGACAATGAAGACATTTTCAAATATTTCATGGCCTGGACTATATAATACTAGGTTTGTTAAATAACATAGTGATCATAGAACTAGGACCTCTTTTAAGCTTTCAACCCCTCACATAGGGCTCTTAGGCTTGTGACATAGGTGATCTGAGTATTCTGTCTAAACATATGTTTTGTACGTGATGTCCTGTTTTTTTCTCGACCCACAGGATGAATAGACTAAACACTTTGCCTCGAGGATTTGGCTCTCTCCCAGCTCTTGAGGTCCTTGATTTGACTTACAACAACTTGAATGAAAATTCCCTTCCTGGAAACTTCTTCTACCTGAGTAAGAAACTTCTACTTCTATAATTCTCCTTAAAATGGTACTTTGCGTTCTAAAAGAGGTATTTATTTGCCAAGGTCCAAACTCCAAGAGAAATTGGGCATATAGATTTTTTTCTTTACACATTCCTTTTGAATTTTCTTTTGTAGCTCAGCAGTATGTGTACTTGATTTATCTGATACCATTGCACTGAAGTGGTCTTTAATAATGTCATACTAACTTTCTAATAGATATTATGTATCTAAATGAGATATTGAGCTAAGGAGTTTGAGTTTCTTTTTTTAAAGAACATGCAAAAATGTAATAATATATGTGTTGCAGGTAACTTTTTATAGGATATTTGCCCAAAGATGTTTCAATCACTTACTTATAAAAATATCTAGCAATAAACCACTGACAGAATTTTTAAAATGTCCAGCCATGATTATTGTTCTAATCCTTTTAAAAAGTGCTCTTAATGCCCTAGCCTAGTGGTCAGCAAACTCATTGGTTAACAGAGCCAAATATCAACAGTACAACTATTGGAAAAAATTTTTTGAGAGCCAAATTTTTTAAACTTAAACTTCTTCTAATGTCACTTCTTCAAAATATTTCGACTCACCCAGGCCATGGTATTTTGTGGAAGAGCCACACTCAAGAGGCCAAAGAGCCTCAGTTTGCTGACCACAGCCCTAGCCACTTTAGCTCAGTGGATAGAGTAGGGGTGTCGAACTCAATCAGAGAAGGGGCCAAAATCTAAAATCCAGCCTAAATTGCGGGCCGAATGGTTTACTGAACAGTCATAAACTGTCATTGTGATGGAAACGCAGCGGAGTGCAGTGATGACAGCGCGGTGCGGGCCACATTGCAAGGCCTGGCGGGACGGATTTGGCCCGCGGGCCTTGTGTTTGACACATGTGGGATAGAGCATCGGCTTGCAGACCGAAGGGTCCCAGGTTCAATTCCTGTCAAGGGCAACATGCCTGGGTTGAGGGCTCAATCCAACATGCAGGAGGGAGCCAGTCCATAATCCCCTCTCATCATTGATGTTTCTGTCTTTCTCTTTCTCTCCCTTCATCTCTGAAATCAATAAATATTTTGATTTATTTTTAAAAAGTGCTCTTATTGATGAATTCTATTTTGTTGATAGTATATAATTAAACACTCTTCAACTTTTCATATTGCAAACAGATTCTTGTTGCAAATGCTTGTAAATATTAGGAAAAACTTATTTTCTCAAGAACTTGTGAAATATTTTGGAAAGAGTTACTTTCCTTCAATGAGTGTTCTATTTGTCCAAATAATGACATATGTGACACCCAGAAATACTGAATTTTCCGAGCTAGTTTCTAAAGTTTCATTTTTTTTTTTTACCTTATCTATACCTTCTCTCAGACTTCCTCAAGTATGTGAAAACAACTCTAAAATATTTTCTTGGGCGGTGGAATAAATTGTTTTATTATGTAAATTAATATACAATTCTGTCAAATTTTAAAACATTAGAATGTAAATGGTTGCAACAAGAAAACATACTTCTGCTTATACTATTTTTGGTTGAGGATAAAAAGATTCATTGGGGTTTTTGTAGTTTGGATCATGTTTCCATTGTGTAATACTGTGAACAAATTTCTGATTATTGGTATTCTGCCTAAGTTAGTGTTTTCTCTATTTTTAGACTCCAGGTCATTATTTTAGCCCCTTTATCTTCATTTATCTTTGTTGTTAAGGCCATAGAAACAAATAATAATATAATTGACTCTTGAACATACACACTTGAACTTCAAAGGCAGGTCTACTTATATGTAGATTTTAAAAATAAATACAGTAAATATATTTTCTCTTATGATTTTTGTAATAACATTTTTTTTCTCTTGCTTACATTATTGTAAGAATACCTGGTATGCTATATACTACACATGACATATAAAATATGTGTTAATCGGCTATGTTTTTAGTAAAGCTTCAGGTCAACAGGAGGCTATTAGTTTTTAAGTTTTTGGGGAGTCAAAAGTTCAGTAGTGATCTTTGACTGTATAGGGAATCCTTGCTTTTTACCTCCTCATGGGTCAGGGGTCAACTGTAATGAGTCTGATTATGGAAACAATAAACAGTGATTATGGCTTTCACCACCAGAAAGCCTTTTAGTAATGGATTTATTTTTAACACTACAGACCCAGTGCACGAATTCATGCACAGGTGGGGTCCCTCGGCCTGGCCGGCAATTGGGACAAATTGGGGCTGTCTCGTCTAGTCCCGATCAGGGCCAGCCGGCCAGGGGGAGGGACTGTGAGAATTGGCTGGCTGTGGGAGGTTGACTATGAGAGTGCACTGACCACCAGGGGGGCAGCTCCTGTATTGACTATCTGCCTTCTGGTGGTCAGTGTGTCATCATAAAGACCGGTCATTCAGTTGACTTGGTTGTAATAGTTGCTTAGGCTTTTATATATATATAGATTAGAGGCCCAGTACATGAAATTCGCTTACTATGTACATGGGGCATGTCCATTAGCACAACTACACCCTCTCCAGTTTGGGATCCGTCTCACAATCCCAACTGCTCGCCTGCCTGCCTTCCTGATTGCTCCTAACCGCTTCTGCCTGCCAGCCTGATCACACCCTAATTATTCCCCTGCCAGCATAATTGATACCTAACTGCTCCCCTGCCAGCCTGGTCATCCCTAACTGCCCTCCCCTGCAGGCTTGATCACCCCTAACCACCCTCCTTGCAGACCTGGTCCCTCCCAACTGCCCTCCCTTGCTGGCCATCTTGTGGTGGCCATCTTGTGTCCAAATAGGAGCAGGATCTCTGATCACATGGGGGCATCCATCTTGTATGTTGGAGTGATGGTCAATCTGCATATTACTCTTTTATTAGATAGGATAGAGGTCTAGTACGCGGGTGGGGGCCAGCTGGTTTGCCCTGAAGGGTGTCCCAGATCAGGGTGGGGGTTTCGTTGGGGTGGGAGGCAGCCTGGGTGAAGGGCCTGCGGTAGTTCGCAGGCTGGCCACACACCTGGATGACTCAAGGGGAGGGCCTGGTATCTGGGATTTATTTATCTTCTACAATTGAAACTTTGTAGCCTTACGAGGAGGCCAAGGCAGGCAAGGGCAGGTGAAAAGCTTGGCTTCCTCCATTGCCGGGGGCAACCCTAGCTTCCTGCTCTCTCCAGCTCCGTGGCTGCCACCATTTATGTTGGGATTTATTTATCTTCTATAATTGAAACTTTGTAGCCTTGAGTGGAGGCTTGGGCCCCCAGGGTGTGTGGAAAGCTTGGCTTCCTTCATCGCTAGGGAAACCCAAGCCTCCCTCCTGCTTGCTCTGTGGCTGCAGCCATCTTGATTGGGGTTAATTTGCATACTTGCTGGTGGGCGTGGCTCGTGGGTCTAGCGATGCGATGGTTAATTTGCATATTACTCTTTTATTATATAAGATAGTTCTCTTTACATGAAAGAACCCTTTTGCCTTAAGTATTGATAAAAGTGACAGTGGCTTTCTTTGTTTTACTTTGGATGCAAATGGAGTAAGAAATGTGAATTGGAAGTAATAGGAGAAAAATAGCTATCTTTTCTGATGGTATATTGACATTTTGTGCCAAAAACTACTGGTGCCCACAATTGTTAATTGTGTCAGTCCTCTTGGATATAGATGTTTTCCTGAACACACCAGCCCCACAATAAGCCAGTAAATCTAAGTTTGACCTGCTTGTTATTATTGTGAGCCCTAGGTATGTCACAGGCTTCTCACCAAGCCAGGGTTATTAATCAAAGCTGACTCCCTTGTATTGATCAGACTTCAAATGGTTGAGTTCCATGTCACCCTGTTTATATATTGCTGTTTAATTTGCAGCCACCCTGCGTGCACTCTATCTAAGTGACAACGATTTTGAAATCCTGCCGCCAGATATTGGGAAGCTCACAAAGTTGCAGATAGTAAGTAATTTATCTAAATTCTGAGAAAATCAATTCACTTCTGCAGCCTCTGTTGGAGTAGAATCAAGTCAATTTGAGCAGGAGTAGGGTTTGTTCTACAGGAATAAACCACTCCTCTCGGTGCTGTTGCTTGTTCATCTGTAGTCACTTGTAAATAAATTGAAAGGATTGAGGTTTAAAGAAGAGAGGGCATGAAAGAGGACAGAGTTTATGTTGAACGCCCCTTTAAGGGAATTTATGTGAAATCGTTTTGACAACTCCTTGTTTTCTTGTATTTAGCTCAGCCTTAGGGATAACGACCTGATCTCGCTGCCTAAGGAAATCGGGGAGCTTACTCAGCTTAAGGAGCTTCACATTCAGGGGAACCGCCTGACCGTTCTGCCCCCAGAACTAGGTAAGGTTGCTGATGAAAGAGCTTACTTCTGGATTTAATTAATACTGATTACTCAAATGCAGCAATTCTGAACAACCCTCTCTCCTCTTGTTGGCAATACCCTCCACCAAGGCATCCAGTTTCGATCATTTACTAGCGTTTGTCATTAACCAGCATTCAGCTGTGCCGGGTTTGACCTGCCCTGGCTCTGCATTCAGTGGCTGCTGCTGCATTGTCTCAGAAATGGCTGATGAGAGATGACCCAGCCCAGCTGCCTGCCCCTGCAGTGAAAAGAGCCCAGATCGTGGCAATTCTCTTTATCTATGGCTCCTCCTTTACTAGCTGGGGTGGGGTTTTAATCAAACCAACACTCTTACTTTTTTTAATCCTGTATTTTTTTTAATTTAACTTCTTGAAAACTTACCAAATAGTTGTGTTTCTTACAGCTGCTTAAATACCTTTTCCAGTCATGAATTTGTTTTTCTCCTGATTCCACCTCCAGTGGGAATTTGAAATGTGTTATAGCTGGGAATTCCTCTGTCCTATCCTGTTTCCCATTGGCAGCTGAATCTTTCTACTCTGCCTGGTAACTCAAGTGGCCCCTGTGGCTTCTTACCTTCCTCGGAAATAACATCCAAAGCTGTTCTTCTGTTACTAGGCTATGCTCCTCTTTCAGAAAAGGCTCATGAGTTCACTTTGTTTATGCACACCCTCGGCATCCTTTCATTTCTTCTATACATTAAACTGCATTGTTTCTCAAACTAAGACTTTGCTTTTCTGCCCCAAAATACCATCATTTTAAAAAACACACTTACCCAATGTAAGCTCACTCAGAGCAGGGCTTCTATATTTGTTCTCCCCTGCTTGCTGTGAACATGGGGCATGTGCTCAAGGAATATGTCCTGAATGATTAGTGAAGTGAGACCCTCGGATAAGCCAGCAAGGTTTTGGAAAGGCTACGAGCAGGCAGTCTGACTTCTGTTCAGAGCTGTGAACATAATTTAATGTTCAACATGCAAGCCACGAGCCACATACCAAGTGTTCAGTAGCCACGTGGGGAAAATGCAGATAGAGGACACTTCCATCAGCACAGGAAGTTCTGTTGGGCAGCTCTGTTCTAAAGGAAAAGCATTCATATGCTTCCATGGAACAGATGGAAAGTTATATCACCACTTTTCCCTTATCCTTGAGCTCCTTTGTCAGTGTCAAAGATCTAGAGAGAGTTGTGCTGCTTTTCAGCATCTCCCCTTCTCTGAGTTATAAGTAGCCCAATCTCACTTTAGGATCAGGCTACAGGATCCAGAAAATATCCTTGCAAACTGTTTAAAAAATACATATTTTTATTGATTTCGGAGAGAGGAAGTGAGTGGGAGAGAGAAAGAAACATCAATGATGAAAGAATCATTGATCAGCTGCCTCCTGCACACCCCATACTTGGGAGAGAGCCCACAACCTGGGCATATGCCCTTGACTGGAACTGAACTTTGATCTCCTGGTTCATGTGTCAAAGTTCAACCACTGAGCCACACTGGCCTGAACACAAATGTTTTAAGGCAGAAAACTTCTTTCAAAAGAAAGATTCTGTACAGTGATTGGTAACCACAGGTGTTAGCCTTGGTACTACCAGGCCAGCTTTTGCACAATAGGAGTACCTTCCAACCTGTGAAATAAAAATTTCCCTGCAGGAGACTAGTTCTTGTCTAATTTGGTAAAGCTCACTTGGTGCATCCTCGATTAATCTTACTACTCTGCCTCGTCACTCAAGTGGCCCCTGTGGCCTCTTACCTTCCCTTGTCTATTAGGAGAAATGAAAAATAAAGTGCCTTTTGTTGTTTTACCTTCATTTGTCAAGAAGTGAGGCAGTGTAGGCTATTAGATTAATCAATTATTTATATCAATAATATTTTAGAAAAAAATCTAGTTGAACCTATACATATCTATGTATTTATATCTTAAAATCTTACATTGCTTATCCTATTTAAATACTGCATGTTATCATATTTGTCTTAATATTTCTGTTAAACTCTCTGATAACAACTTACATGTTTTTTATACAGCAGTGAAATTAAGGAGACGGTCTGTAAATAACTTTATTTTTTTTGTGTGAGCCATATCTAGGAAAGCTTAATCTTAATATCTGCTTGGTAGTAGTTTTCCCTAATTATAGGTAAACACTTAGCTGGAAATAAATGATAAACCCCTGGGAGTTTCTATTATAAATATAGCCTCAAGATGAAAACAGATATATTACTTATTTTTAAACACTGATTTAAAAAAAAAATCAAGTGTGATAAATAGTGATATAATAATATTACTAGCCAGCATGTTCTCTCCTGTCATCGTCATAAGAGCACAGTAAGCTGACTTTTTAGAGGTGAGGAGAGGTGGCACGTTCTTAGGGACACAGTGAGTCACAGGTGTGATCTGAACTCTGACGACTGTCCTCCAGGTCCACATTCCTAACCTGTGTGTGATCCTCCTTCCCATTTGTGCCCGTAGAGGGATTCCTAGGAAACGGTTTCTGAGTGTGAATACTATGTGGCACTGCTCTCTGCCCCAGGCTGTGGCAGGGGGACAGATGACACATATGGCCAGTCACATGGCTGAGCAGCGGGGCTAGGGTAAACCTGCAAAATGCTGATGAGATGGCCTCTGGGAAACAGATTCTGTTCCCCTTTTCCACTCAGTGCCAGCTGCACTGCACTGTCGCTGTCCTTCTTTCCCCAGAGAACACCCAGCCCCAGCAGGAGTGCCTGTCTGTGTGTTGGATGCACAAGGTGCTCATATGGCTCAGGGCCAGTAAGGGACCTGCTGTCCTTGCACCTTCCTGTATCTGTCCCACCAGCATCCACTGGCTGCAGGTTTGCTCTGGGTGCATTTTAAAGTGTGGATAATGGTCTTTTCCCTGTATATTTTTTATGTATCTGAAAAGCAAGTTAAGTGCTTTGGAGATTTCTGTGAAATTTCCTTGAAAAATAAGTTGAGAGTTTATTAACTGGAAACCTTGTTGGTTAGAGTATTGGGGCCAAACAAGGGAATCCAATTGGGTTCTGACCTGTCAGATATAAGAATATTCACGGATACAGCAAAATAAAGTCAGGGGCTTGAAGGGAGTTTCACATGTAATTTTATTACGTTCCTTTTGTTGTGTAACCCTGAATAAGCTACTTTAACTGTTATGTCTGATTCCTACACAGTAACTCACTTGATTTGATGTTAATCCAGTTTATCCATTGAAAATTAGATTTGAATTGGATCTATCATTTACACATCCATTTATCCATTCATTCATACATTTATTGAGTTCCTTCTTTAGGCCAGGTCTTGTCTCTAAGGAACTTACTTTTTGAATAAAGTAAAATTCACATATCCAACAACTGTTTATTGAACCCTAGTTTCATGTTTTATTTTCTGGAGATACAACAAGAGATGAAGCATACCTTGTGGCATTCTAGTTGGAGAGGATGAATGGATGATGGATGAATACTGTATTAGATATAAGTGCTCTAGGAAGAAAAACCAGCATGGAAGGGAATGTTTATATTGGGCGTAGGGCGGTGTTGCTCTATTACAGAGTCAGCAGGGAAAGCTTCACTACTATGATGGTGTCATTTAAGCAGAGACCTTAGGGAGGGAGCTTCTCTGGCTGAGGGAATAGCAAGTGCCAGGGAATGAGGTATCCCTTTACCATGTTGAGGGATAACAGCAAGATTAGTGTAGCTGAGACTGAGTGAGCCGAGGGGAGAGTTGGGAGAGATGAGCTTAGATAGGAAGTGGGGACTACATCTTGTGGGAACTTCTGTGCATTGTAAGGTCTTTGGCCTTTACTCAGGGTGAGATAGCGCAGGAGCATGAATAATGGCCCAAAGATGCCCTTGTCCTAATCACCAGCACCCGGGAATATGTTACCTCACATGGCAGGCGTCTTCAAACTACGGCCCACGGGCCACATGCGGCCCGCAGAGGAGTCTGATCCGGCCCGCCAGGTTTTTTGGGCAGTGAGCGCAGCCGAGGTGTTACAGTAGGAATTAGTAGTTCATATAGTCCGGCCCTCCAGCTCTCTGAGGGACCGTGATCTGGCCCCCACTTTAAAAAGTTTGAGGACCCCTGTCACATGGTAAAAGGACTGTACAGATGTGATTTAGAATCTTGAGGTGGGGATATTATTCTGCATTACCCCGGTAAGCCCAGTATAGTAATAGAGTCCTTAGGGGAGGGAAGCAAGAGGGTAAGAGAGAGTACAAAGTAGATGTGATGACAGAATCATGAGAGTGGAGTCATGCATGGAAGGGGCCATGAGCCAAGAAATGCAGGCAGCCCTCAGAAGCTGAAGAAACCACGAGAATGGATTTCCCCCTGAAGCATCCAGAGGAATGCCACCCTCTGCATTCATCCAGCTGATAGTAATGGTCAGATTCTGGACCTGTCTTTAAGGCATGACGGACAGGAAATGGTGACAATTTAAGTGAGGGGTGTAAAAGTGAGGAATTGGACCTGGGCAATGGAAAGGATGGAGAACATCATGGGAAGGGTAGATTAGGAGATGGGGAGAGGAGAGGAGTTAGACATGGGCGGATTTTGGGTGTCTTAAGTCTGAGATGCCTTTTGCATTTTTAATCGAGAAGGCAATTGGGCATTAGAATCTGGAGTTCATAGGAGAGGTCTGGCTGCATAGGTAATTTGGGGCAGTATCAGCGGACTGCAATGCCCCTGATTGGATGTGATTGCTCCTATGTGACTGTAGAGGTTGGAGGATTGGTCTGTGCAGAACTGTGCTTCCTCAGCACTGAATCCAGAAGGGCTGGGTACCTGACTGGGCCAGGCTGGCTCCCAGGCAGGCATCTGTGCCTTCCCCTGGAGGCCCCACGACGGCTCCAGGGCTAGTGCAGTGGGGCGCTATGCTTCATAGGAAAACTGCTTTTCCCAACGTGTGTAGATAACTGTGCCAACAAAGGAGTGAAATACACACAAGTGACATTTCCTGAGTCTGCCTAAGTCCAATGTCTCTTTTGGGACCAGTA